CTTTCTTTCTTTCTTTCTTTCTTTCTTTCTTTCTTTCTTTCTTTCTTCTTTCTTTCTCTTTCTCTTTCTTCTTTCCCTTTCTTTCCATCTTTCCTTCCTTCCATCCTTCTTTTTCTCTTTCTTTTTCTTTTTCTCTTTCTTTTTTCTCTTTCTTTCTTTCTTTCCTTCTTTCCATCTTTCCTTCCTTCCATCTTTCCTTCCTTCCATCTTTCTTTCTCTCTCTTTCTTTTTCTTTCTCTTTCTCTCTTTCCCTTTCTTTCCATCTTTCCTTTTTTCCTTTCTTCCTTTTTTCCTTCCTTCCTCCCTCCCTCCCTCCCTCCTCCTTTCTACTCACACACTCATTCACACACTCACTCACCGTCCTTTGAATTAAGGAAAAAATAGCACCTTCTAGTCTCTCCTCTCTTAGTTGCCAGAAAATGCAGCATTTTTTTTTTCCTAGGGCAAATAAAATGGACTGCAGGCCTTACAGGCAGCCTGCTGGTGAGGGTGCCTCCATAGAAATAAACTTTTCCTTTTTTAAAAAACAAAACAACAACAAAAAATAAAATAAAATAAATAAGAGCAAGCAAGAGAGAAAGAGACAAAACAGATGCCAGAAAACTTTGCTGACATCCTTAAACACCCCTCCCTTCTCTCCAGCCTGCCGACCCTGCTTTCTTTTAAACCTGCCTTTAGTACTCCCCTCATCCCCCTCCCCTTTACAGTCAGAGTAGAAATTAAAAAAACAAAAACAAACAGCAACGAGAGCAGATTGTCTAATGGGAGGCCCTGCTAGGAAGTTGTGTCCCGGCTTCCTTACCCATCACCTTTTCTTGCCTAATTCAGCACAGTATCACAATCCCCCTAAGCCTAACCCAGCTCCAGACCCTTCGGGTGGGTCTGGGTGTTGTGGGAAGGCAAAGTCAACCCCGAATCTTAGCTGTCCCCTTTTCTCCCCTCTTGAGTCTGGCCAAAGGCAAAGCTCCAAGGAGATCCAAGCAAACAAGCAAGGAAGCAAGGGAAGGGAGGGAGGGAGGGAGGGAGGAAAGAGAAGGAAGGAGAAGGAAGGAGGGAAGGGGAAGAGAGAGGGAGACAAGTCAAAAAAGAGGGAGGAGGGAGAGAGGGAAGGAAAGAATGAGAAGGGGAAGGAAAAGCGGAGGGGAGACTAGTGAAATAGGAGGGAGGGAGGGAAAGAAGGAAGGAAAAGAGAAGGAAGGAAGGGAAAGAGAGAGGGAGACAAGTGAAATAGGAGGGAGAGAGGGAAGGAAGGAAGAAGGAAGGAAGGATGGATGGAGAAGGGAGGAAGGGAAAGGGAGGAAGGAAGGAAGGAAGGGAAAGGAGGAAAGAAGGAAGGGAAAGGAAGGAAGACAAGTGAAATAGGAGGAAAGAGGGAAGGAAGGAAGGAAGGAAGGAAGGAAGGAAGGTTGCCCAGCCACCCCGCCCGCCCTCCACGCCTCACCTTCGGGGTTGGCGCTGACGAAGACCCGCACGCTCCTACCGCTGGGCGCCAGGTGCAACGGCAGAGCCGAAAGGTTGCCGGAGAACGCCGCTTTCCGCAGCGCCGAATCCCGCGGAGCCGGCCCCTTGCCGGCCCCTCCAGCCGGCCACATCGCGCAGCGGCGGCCGCTGCTTCTTCTTCTTCTTCTTCTTCCTCCTCCTCCTCCTCCTCCTTTCTCCGCCCCGGCTTGTCCTTTGGCAGAAGGGCGCCGCCGCCGCCGCCGCCGCCGCTCGTCCGCCCGGCCAGTCAAAGCCCCGGCTGCGGCTCCTCGGCCTTGTTCTCCGGCGAGAGGGCTGGAGGGCTGGAGGTGGGGGGGCGGGTGTCTCGCCGCCGGCAAGCCCGAGAGACGGGACAAAGAGAAAAGTTTCCGCCAAGCGGCCAAGCCGCTAGTCCCTCAAGGAGGCATCGAGGCGCCGGGCTGGGCTTCTAAGAGCTTTGGCCCCAGCCAACTTCGGCTCTTAAAGGCAAGCCTCGGCGGCGCTCCCCCGGTTGACGCACGCTCCGGCCGGCGGGTGGCGGCGGCGGCGGGGAGGGGAGACCACGCGGAGATCCCAGCCCGGCCAAGCATCCGTTAAGCCATCGCCAATGGTCTCCTGCCAAGAAACCACGCGGGTGGGGGGGGGGGG